CCTTGTGCCACAGTTGTGATGTGAGCGCATGGATAAAACACTTCCAATCAATGCCAAGTGTGAAATGAAAAATAAAGACAAAAAAAATAATGATAAGAAAGTAGGAAGAATGAAATTAAAATAACAGAAAAAAGATGTATTCTATCAGGGACAGTATTTTTTTTGTTTTTCATTTCATTTCACCCCGTGCAAGACAATAATGCTACTGAGACGCGCGGGTTTACTGAGTGTTAGAGAATATGAGAAAATACTATAGGAATACATAACGCGCTTATCTCCCTTTGCACAAAGATAAGTCCCGTAGTCACATGACAACCGCTTCGTGACGTCACTTCATACAGTGACCAACAGCGGGAGTCGATTTTCAGTCCGTGAGTAACCAACCAAAATGGTTGCTTTCTTATAGACTTGACCTTAGGCCCAAGCTGAGGCTAAATCTGCCTCCCCAGCTTACAATCACATGATGACGTTTCCCTTTGGGACACAGATGAATCCAGCCCGTTTAAATCTAGAGTCCTAAAAATGGCTTCTCCAGGTCAGGAATATCTTCAAATTATATTTAAGACCTTTGATTTTATTAATCCTTATCCTTTGCTTTTCTATGTAGATATAGTGGTTTTCCAAGTGTAGCTTAGATATGGCACAAGGCCGAAAGTATGGGACACCCAGTGAGGATCGAACTCACTACTAAGTCGTAATTGTTCTAGCGAGAGAAGCTTGCTAACCATTATAGTGCCTCGAGGCGTTTTTGCTGTGTAGTTCTCCATGTGGGACATATATATATATATATATATATATATATATATATATATATATATATATATATATATATATATATATATATATATATATATATATTATGTCCATGCAATTCCGCCCTGTTCGTGCGCTACGGTGTTGTTGCATTATGGATATATCAATGCCCATAAACGTAATTGGGAGAAGAAATATTTCTTTCTTTCCCTTGCACTTGTTACAATAATATTAAGGAGATAAAACACTAAAAGACAGAAGACTGAGATTACACTTAAATTTTTGAAGATCAACCTTAACTGGAAAACAAGAAACTGGAAGAGATTTCTACAAGCGATAAGTGCGATTGAGGAAACTCTTAGCATAGAACTTACGGTTACATCACGCCATTTCACCTGTAAAATGATGAAAAATTGCCGCCAATCTTGTTCTGCGCTGAAGTTCCTAAAGTCTAGGTACCATAGATGGAAATTCATCAGAACAATTACCTTAAAAGTATTTATAGAAAAGGCACAGTGAAACTACATTATAACAGTGAGAAAGTGACTAAAGCCGAGATGCCAGTTCAAGATCAGTAACACCGCAGATTCTTTTTGGGATTTTATTAAGAATCTCTAAATATATAGAAGGAGCATTAGACCAGATGTGACAGAAATATTCAAAGCACAGACGAATTGCATACTTACAGATATGCAAGATACATTCTAGCAAGAGTATTTGTCTGGTACGACACAGTGAACCACCTTTCCTAGCAGCAGACCTAGTAATTGATTTAATATAATCCACTTCATGTCAGCGAAAAATGTTAACCCGAAGAGTCACAAGGAGTCACTGTCCTGGAGGTTATCATCAGTAATCCTGATGGAAGTAAGGAAGGGATTCTTAGATGATTGATTGATAGAGAGCAGTTTCGTTTTGGAGGAGTTAAAATCGACAAGCCACTCCTTGCACTAGTCAAAGTCAGACTGTAGGTCATTTTGGAGATCAGCTGCCTTTTTGACTTCATCGAACTGATCAGACTTACTAATGAAACAAGAGTAAATGGTTGTGTCTTCAGTTTAGATGCCAAGTTGAGAAATGACCAGGAAAGTTATTGATTACAGTTATGGACAACGTATGTCGAAGCGTTGTAAATTCTCCTCCTGTAGCAATTGCCGGTTTTGATTCTTGATAAATGTTAGGATTTTAAAGGTAATTTTGAAGGATAGCAGGGATTTTTCCCACGCTATTTAGCACCATGTCGTTCTAGGCTAAGTTATACATTGTTTCCAGAAGTTTGAGTTTGAGCTTCGAAAAAAAAGACAAGACTTCAAAATTTGATTTTCAATGCAATCTTGTAGATACTTCTCATTTAGAAGTAACGTCTAGAAAAGAAGTTAGACTGAAAGACATGCAAGTATTCCAAAATACAACAACTGATCGATTACCTGCTGTATTATGTAACACTTGCATGTCGATTGACATTTATACCTTGGTCACAATTTGAATTTTCCAGTCGACAGTCGTAAACGGATAACACAACATATATTTGCTGCTAGACGATATTAAACTATTTAAATCTAGTAGAAACATAAAAGAGGTTAATATTAGAGGAGGTTGACCTGCTAGGGAATGATGCTAATGGCTAGTGTCCTTTCCACATTATTTGTGCATTTAGATTAGAGAGTGACAGCACCACAAAGCAACGTGTTCCTTCTGTCGGTTCTATAACGTTTTACCGGGTGGAGTTGTCAGCCGCATATCCACATCGATCTGAAATCAGCGTTTTCATTTTGTTAGACTGACTGCTAATCAAAGCTAGACATCTTAGTCTACCTTGTTATTGAACTACTATCAACGGGATACACACTTTCCGAATAGGGTTGGCGCAAATGTGAATGCAACAAACTTGACCGAGATTTGAACTCGGCACTCCGATTCCACTATAGTTTAAAATAACCCTTTTTTTGTTTAAGTAAAAAAAGTAAATAAGCAAAAATAATTCCTCATGTTGATTATTTTTTTTTTAGGAAAAAAACTTAAACCAGTGCATTAAAAACTTCCTTATTCACGTTTGTCTATTTGGTCTCTTGTCGAAATAGTTTTAGAAAATACGAGAATATGAGATGAGAACGAATACGTAAGAAGAAAAAACCAAATAAAATGGCACCACGATAATTCTGGAAAATAAAAGACTTTAAAAAATAAATAAACGAAAAAAATAAAATAATTGAAATAAGAACTGATTGTCCTCGAGTCAAAATGATTCGAATTCAGGTTTTGAAATTTACGTAATGATTTTTTTTTCCTTTTCATTATACGCAAATTAATCTGAACAAGGAAAACCAGACACGGACAGGCAGCTAGGAAACCACTGTGACGTACAAAGATATACATTAATTCATGTGTACAGGGAAAGATTAAATAAAAGCAAAATGTTGTTTCTTTATCCTAGACTAGCTACCAAATAAGGCGATAGGGCTCAATCTTCCCTGTTATTTTCCCATAGCTGAAGAGGGGGAGAATAGATGGATTTATACCTACCCCAACGTTATGTGCGCGTAAAATAATATAAGAAACTCGACTGGAATTTGAACTCGGCTTTCGGAAGTATCAGTGAAGAGAAAAAAAGCATTTCCTAGATAGTCCTCAACTTAGTCTCTCTCATCCTCAGATGTGGTATATTACTTCTATTCTCACCTCTAAAAGCGTTGTTTTCAGCTCAAGTAACCATTTGTAAATGGCTTCTTTCGCCTGATAAACGTCCTTGGTTAGAATACTGCTACTTGGTTATGATACTACTGCTATATAGGGTGCAATGGTTTAATTGCCGCCATTTTATACATTTAATTACACGCATGCGCGTTTTTGTGTTTGATTTTGTCAACTGCACAGTATATTAAGGTCAGTAATGCACCGTCTGTGAGAAAAAGTGCACAATGACGCAATTTACTCCGCCAGAAATTTGGAAATGGCATACTGTACTGCTTGGTCTTCGCGCCGGAAGCACCAATACGAATATTTCAGTGTTTGGGTGTCAATCTCAGGAAAGTGCAAAGTATTCGTTGAGAGTTGGATGAGTCTAATGGTGATTACGAAGATGTTTGAAGTGATAACTAGTGATGGAAACCTCATGCCTACATTAATCTTATCACAGGGCCTTAGGCTCAACACGGAGGCCTACATAAAGTGCCTTGAGAAAGTTGTGCCGTCCTGGTTCAAGAAGGTGGTCTGTGTCTAGCAACAAGACTTTTCAGCATGCCACAGAAGCAGGAGAACCTAGTCATGGCTGTGGAACACTTTCTGCGACGACGGCACCCCTTACATCTGGCCACCTAACTCTGCAGACTGCAACTCCGATCAGTATTATGTGTGAGGTGCAGTTGACCAAGAGACCAAGAAAACTCCTTGTAACACTAAAGACTATGGATTATGGCAGAATTCACCAATTTAAACAACGAGACCGTCCAGAACAGTTGGAGGAGATTCCGAAATCGTCTGGAGGCCAAGGTTGAAGCCTATGGCGATTTTATTGGATAAATTTACTCTTTAAATAATTTTGTGTAATTTTGGTAAATACATCTGTTAAAATGAAATGTCAGTGTTATTTTCATTTTCGTGTAATTTAGACGACAATTTATCCATCGCACCTTATGTGCCATGCCATACACACTTAGGCGATCATGCATCTATTGATACATGACTGACGAGGCAGACTTTTTCCCGCCGTAGGTTGCTATTTCTTTCTTCGGTAGACCAGTTGCCATCCAAGGCTAGAGAACCCGATCTGTCTTGCTATTTACCCATAGCTGGAGAGGAGAAGAAAAGGATTCATAACTTTCCCAAGGGTATTAGCACGTAAGTGAATGCAATGTATCTGACTGTAATTTGAACTCGGTTCTCCAATTTCTCAATCCGATCCACCCGCTAAACATTACTCTATCATTGTATATTGAGACTACCTTTATAAATCCAAATAAGAATCTGCAAAGTCAGTCGCTCTGATCTGGTCTATCACATTCATTCACTTTCCTACCGTAATGTAGTTCCCTGTGTCTTTTCTATCAATACTTTAATAGCAATTATTCTTATGAACCCTTTCCGTATTTTACTTAGATTTTAGGAATTTAAGAGCAGTACTAGATTAGCGACAAGGTCTCATTAGTTTACAGTGGAAATAGCTAAATATAATTGTAAATTCTATGTCAAGTGTCTTTTCTCGTACTTCTCAACTGTGGAACTCTCTTCCGGCTACGTGTCCTCCAGGTATACGGCCACATCAAGTAGAACCACCGATTACCGTACGATCAGAGAAGTTAAGCAATGTTGAGGCTGGTCACTACGTAGATGGGTGACCGCTTGAGAATACCAGTTACTGCTGGCTTGGATGTGGAAGTAGTTTAATAGATAATGACACGGATTTGTTAACCTAAGAGAAAGAATTGCAATTACA